AGCGAATTTCCACGGTCGAGCCTTGGCCCGACAAACGATTTGAATAACAAAGTCACCAAGAAGATGTACTATCGTCCGTGTCCGCATGAGTGAACAGTCTTCAGGCAAGTTTATCGCAGGAATCGTTTGCATACCAAGCGAAATCGATCCTCGTCCAGCTCTTCAGGATTTCCATCGTCATCGACTTTTGTCGTTTGCTTTGATTCGAGACCCGAACGCAAAGACGATTCTTCAAATGTGAAGCTAGCGATGCGCTTCGATTGATCACTCTTACAATTACTAACAGAATATAAAAACGACGACAGTAATGTTAAATTATTTGTAAGAAACGACTGTTAATATTTAACGTGCTTTAATTAAGATATATATATCAGTATTTTCATAAGGTTTAAGATGCTATTGAAAAAATTATAGCATAAAAGAATATTTAGGAAATGAAAAATCCAACGTTTTTCTTTTACCATTCACAAAAAAGCAACATTGTTAGACCATTCACAAATAACAAATCGAATAAAATAAGTATTGTGACTATTTGCTCTCTCTTTGATTTCATAGTTCAAAGTGACATTTATGATTTTTTTTTACTTGTAATTAATGGCAGCTGACATCATTTTGTTATGAAAATAAAAAGCTTGTACTAGCACATTAGAAAGTATGATGAGTAACGTGACTGCTCGAAAGATCTCGGAGAAGTCTACGTTAAAAGAATCCCTGGTCTAGCCATATCGGTTGAACAGGTGTGCGGGTACGATGCGAGAATAAACGATTAGAATCTCGATTAGCATCCGCGGATCATATTAATCGCGGCTGCATTACCAAGCGGTTGCATCCGCTCGAGTACGATTTCATAATCGGACACGTATCGGCTTCGAGCACTAAGTCTCGATTCGCTTTGACGACTTAATAAGAGGTAATTGCGCCTCAAGTATAATATAAGCGCATAAACGATCTAACATCGATAATTAAGCATGCAACAAGCGACAAACTATTTTTTAGATTAATTAATATTAATTAATGTTAATGTATCGTTCATTTAGTTATTGAAAAATTCTTAATAGCGTAATTAAAATATTGTCATTATAAATTTAGTTTTATCAATAATTAGATTTAAATATTACAATATATTACATATTAATTATACTCTAAAAATTATGTTCTAAATTCGGAAAGAATAGCTTTGTTGAAGTATCTGAAAATTTAACTAGATATAAGTATCTGAAGTATAATTTGATTTAGAATAATTATGTAGGACCCTTAAACTGATTGCTAGAATGCTAAAACTTTTTGCAGTATATGTTTAAGCGTTCCACATAATTTTGATGGTCCAATAAAATCATTTTCAAATTTGTATTTTGCTAAACTTTTAGGTACTTCAGTAAAACTGTTCTTTCCGTGTACATATATTTTAAACTCTCGCGACATCTCTCCGAAATTCGACAAAATCTGAGACAAACATGCGATTATTTCTTTCGTGAGAACCCCTGACTATCACGCGAAATGACACGAATAACATGCCGCGGAGTATACGACGTTTCGACGGCAGTTTCATCGCTCCTGACATGGTGATTCGCAGGGAAGTGCAAAAAGGAAGACAAGGAGAAGCCGATGAGGCGGCCGCGGGCGAATGGTCGCGAAATGTGTTCGGAAGACGTGGAGGCAGAGGAGAAAAATGAAGCGGGTGGTGGCGGTGGTGGTGGCGGTGGCGCTAGGCGATCGGAAGTGTGTCAAATTACAGAGGTCCGCGATATTAATGACTCCTAATGACATGCCCCCCTCCTGACAGCAGCGTCCGGTGCCTACCGACCGACACAAGGAAAGAGCACGATTTCTCCCCACTAAGCCATTCGCCCGGGTCCGCTCGCGAACCACCAAGGTTGGGGCCCCCGTGCTGCTCACCGCGTCGGGCCGGTGGACCCGATTCACAGAATCGACATTAAAAATGCAATTACTAATTGACGGAGGCTAATAGCAATAAGACAAACAACGGACTAAATGCTATAAAGTAAAACACAGGTCGGCGACGGTGTCCTTCACCCCATCCCGCTCGCTACCACCAGTCAGGTCCTATCGGATCCCGTTCTCGCCCCTCGTACCTCGCTTCTATTTACCAATCGTTTCTTTTTCTTTCTTTCTTGGCTCCAACTTGGTCCGCTCCTTTCGTTGTGATACTTGTACGAGGAGCACCGTTCGCGAAGGGGCGCGAGCCCTTCTGTTTACGACCGGTTCGGCATTTCCGAGAGGCCGGTCCAACCGCGGATTTTTTGTCAGCTAGCTCTACACCTCTGTTAGTTTCTGTCCATTCGTCCGTTTTATTTTACCTTGAGAGGATAGCTCGATGTTCCATCGTCGAGGTACAGCTTTAACCCGTACCATGTTTTTTTCTTTGATGACAGTCGTATACTTCGCTTATCTCAATTACATAATTAATTACACAATTAATACATTATTGAACGTAGACGTATCAGTTAAGAGTTTTGTTGTGTCTGAACGTTAAAACCGTTCACTCAAAACTGAAACAAGTTTACTGGTGTGAGCTGTTCTTTCTAAAGAAACATATATGTATATTAAATCAGACCTGTCCAAACATGAGAAACTGAACGTTTCCCTCTCTCTGTCGTCGAGCGAAACAAAAGAAAAACAAAAATATATGCTAGAGCTCTCTTTGTCAAATGACTGCCTGTTTTATCTTTTTTGTTTTCTATATGTCTCTCGCTTAACGAGACAATGGAGAAATGGAAGTGTTTAGCTCTCTAAATTTTGAACGAACCTGGTTTAAATCAATGTGCAAGGTTATTAGAGTTTAAAATTATTATTCATTATTATTAATTTGAAAAATTATTATTAATCTGTTCTTATTTCAAGACCTTAAAGAGATGTCAATACGGTTCTGTTTGAATTGATTTATGACACCTTAAGACTGTACTTAAAGCGATCTTAAATATAAGAACAGACTATGAGTACCGGGAGATCTTAATGTTCCATTATAAAATTAATGATTATGTTTAGTCTTCATTTTTTGTCGTAGTTTGCTTCTTTCTGATATTTTGTACATTATAAACGAAATTTTATAAAAAAAAATAGTCGGCCATAGACGTTTGTGTAAAACGTCCGGTCAACAATGTGTTAATTGGTCTTACTGTACAATATTACAATTGTAATATTTATATAAAATACAACATTAATGTTAAGAACAATACGTAATACTTCTGTCAATATTATTTTTAAATGTAATAACAGATTAATATTAAAGCTATAAAAAAGATGTCGCATGGCCACTATGTACCGATAATTATAACTATTATAAGCATGTTCGCAGGATTGCGTTATTACGCACGTCAAATAAGTTTCTTAGTTTTGCAGATGCAGTCGTTTGGCGGCATCCATTACGTTCTGTCATCTCCCTCATTATCGCGCTTTCTGCGAAGAACGATACACGCTATGTCAGATCTCGTGACGCGTGACACCCTTCGAGTTTGTCCCGTCGTTCTCGAAACGCACGTTCATGGAATTAACGATTCTCCTTATTAGGTCTGTTATATAAAAGTTTGTTTTGCTAAACACGCAAGAATCTAAAGGACTAAAGGTCGTCTGTTAGATTATAACAGTGTATTTATTATACTATGCTCTAATATTTCCATGCTTACGTGAATGTCAGCTTTATGATAGAATATATGTCTAATTATAAAAAATTATAAACATGAAATAAATTTGCTATAATTGATAAATAGTTATATATAAATTTTCGGTACTATGGAATCTACAGACAAATTACAGAATATATAATATTCCCAATTGGTTTCCTCTAATTTCAATTTGCTGACAATGGTCACGCAGCTCTAACCGAAACTTTCCCACGATATGATAATATAACGCTAAAAATTTGCACACGCGCTTCCCTTTTTGTTATGTTTAATAGGTGTCGCGTGAGTCAAGTTGCCATTTGCAATTTTAGCACTTCGAATTCGTCTAAGTCGTTCCGCCTCGTCAAAATCGTAAAAGGGTCCCGAAAAGGGACTAAATTTTTCTGAAGATCATCGACGATTCAGTCGAACCGTCCGCAAAGGATTTTTTAATATTTTAGTCATTCTTTTATGATCCTAACGAAAAATCTAATGGATGCACACGGATGGTTCTCCAAAGTTAAAAGGCCAGTTATACGGCACGGAAGAATTCCTCGAGGCAAATGATAAACTGCTGCGTGTAAGCGGCATCTGCCGAACGTAATTGGTTTTATGACATATTTTACGTGGAAAAAAATTAGCTGACGTCTCCGACATGGAGGACCTTTTATAGATGCAGAAATTGAACTGTGCCAATAATATTCGCTTCATGACTGAATTTTATATTTAAAATCGCTCATCTATATCTTATTTTATAAACATTTTTTATCTTATTGTTATAAATATTACAAATATATTAGAGTAAAATGTACAATTTCAAACATGGTACAATTCTGAATAAAATAAAATTTGAATCCAAATACAAAGTTTAAGTTTGGTAACCTTGTTCTCATTATATAGAAGGCACTGAAATCACTAAATAGGAAAAATGAAACTTAAACTTCAAAAACTTCAAATTTTATTTCGTTCAAAATTATATTATATTCGAAATTGTATCACTTTATTCTATCAAATATTACTATATTATATAATATATTTTTATACCTTTCAAAAGTTTATTTTTTTCACATCTATAAGTTTCAGATTTCACTGTACGAGTAAAAATTACGTAAACAGATCTAAACAAGGTTTTATAAAAATAAAATCTGATTAAGATTGACAACTCAAGTGACATTGTTGATTACGGTAGTGTCTCAGATAAAAGTACATTAAAAAACTGGCAGTGCGGGTTCATTATCATGACGAGGCGTTCTTTTTTTGCACGTATCATTCTATCGCCGTATTATTTCTGCACGAAATTTATGTCTACCGTAAACGAAGATTAACCAGCATCGTACGTTAATCGTATCAAGAATATACGATGCAACTCTGCAAACTCACCTTGTATGGATTCCGGCGAGGTTGGCTCCTTATCGATTCGGCCGAGCGCGTCGCTACCTGAAACAAAAAGCGCAACCAAGCCCTCGTTAGTGACGCCATACTATAAGCCAATCGGGAAAATCATTCGTTTTCCGTAAGAGATACATGCGCGAGTACTTTTTGCTTTGATCGAATCGGCAAGCATTGTAGTTTTATTTTAATTACATTAAGGTTACTTATAACCTACTCCTTTGGGGATAATAGCACGCTTCTTCATCAGTGAAGAAACGATGACGAAGACATTGATTTATATTTGCAACCTGCAGCCTTATCGTCTTCATTAATTTTATTAAAATTATGAAAGACTAGCAAGAAATATAAATATAATACAAGAGAAATAATCCTCGGTATTGTTACACATATTCAAATAATATTTGTTATGACGTTCATATTGTTGTTTTAATAAAATTAATAAGATTAAACTTCAAATAGAACTAATATCTAAATTATGTAAATGTTAGACTATTTTTACGTTAAATTATGTCTGTTAATTATTAAACAATGATTGCATTTAGATTCTTTAATATGATTTCATTCTTGCATTTATTTCCTTAATGGAACCAATAAATGTGTACATAATAAAAATGATACATAAATGTATAAATCAATCATATTAAAGAATTTTACAACAATTGCAATTGAGTGTTTCTCAATATTCCTCAATGTCTGACAAATGTGTTATGTCACATACAGTTCTATTCTATTCGATGGAAACCCACATCTGCCTTGATTAAAATCGAGAGATCAAGAGAACTGAATGGTCCAGATAGTATCAGAGTACATCGCATTTATCAATCAGGTTGCGGGCCGAATTATGCTAAAACCCAAGCGATCATGACGCATAGTGGGGAATCGCGCGCCATGCCGATCGCAATTTCTCGAAAATAGGGCGGCTCGCCGTTATCCTGCCGTAAATGCGATCGATCGATATTCAAATAATCTATTTGACAGACCCTTTTTCAAGGAGGACGAGAAAGGGAAGATGGTGGTAATTCGGCGCGAGGATGACCACCGTACGTCACACGGCGAGAGGGACGAGTTCGTGGGGGTCCGGCAGACCCCAGGGGCGACCACCTACTACCCCCTAGGGGGTCGCAACTCACCCCTGAAACGACTGTATTCAGATAATCCCACCTTTCCTTTTCTCCGTCTTATTTGCCCGCAACGACGACATTTCAATACATGCTCTCACCGGATAACCCGCCACAAATATGGGCGGATATACGCGATCACTATACGTGGAAAATAGTAACGGGAGTAACGACTACATACGGTAGTACGTAGAAGTAAAAGGGATAGGAAAGATTTCACAGTCTTGACTCTCGCATTTCGTATATATCATCATACATATTGAAAGATCAGTGAATTATTCATATAATGAATTTAATATTGATCGGTAATATGCATTTAGTTTTTCCTCCGTCCTTAATTCAAGATGCGCGTATTAATGTGACAATTAGATAAAATATTTCCTATGCTCCATTTCAAATTGTGTTTATATATTCCACCAATATCTGCTTGATCGGCGACCTATAATATGTTTCATTTAAGTTATCCAGGTCGCTATAATAAAACTAAACAATGTTTCTTAACGAGACCGTTTTTATTATCGAGCGAAGGACTCCTAGAAACTAGTACGCGTTTACATTAAATATAAAGAGCGGCCTTATAAGCCAGAGCTCGAGCTCTTCTCTCTTATGCACGCATGTAATAATGCCTGAGGCAATCTTTCTTATAGTTTTGTAGAAAAAAAAGAATCGTGAGGGAAGATGCGATGCATAATTCATCAGTAGCGGGGTACGATCGATTGTTCGACCGATATTAGAGAACATCGATGACAAGATCCTTTTTCACGAGCGACAACGCGCGTTTAATTCTATCAATCGTAGTTATGTGCATTAATTTTCAAAACTTTTTCAGTGCATAAAAATAAAAAAAAACATATATATAGATTTTTCAACATATTTTAATATTTATCAAGACAGTCTTTTCGCGTATATGGAAAGAACGAATTTGCTGAAATGTTTAAAAATTTAGTTAGATACAGATCTGAAAATAATTTTGTTGGACCATCAAAATAGTTACGTAGTAACTCAAACTGAGTAATTACTAGAATGTAAAAACTTCTTGTAGCATTGTTTTTCATTGCTTGAATTTAATTCAAGCATGAGAAACAGTGCTTGAAGTATTATGCAATTATTTTGATGGTCAAACAGAATTATTTTCAGATCTATATCTAGCTAAATGTTCAGATCTTTCTGCAAAATCATTTTTTTCCATGTAACTCCTTTATACAGAAGCCTCACAAAATTCTTGTTTAATGGTAGACATCAGCGAGCGCGACGATTTATCAAAATGAAATACCGGCTGTCGAAAGGACGCCCACCCATTCCTTTAAATAGGAATGAACGCGGATAAATACGATGCACCTTCGTCGTTCGACGACTCTCCGGAGGGCCGTAAAGAAGTTACGGTTTGCACATGCACTTTTTGCCCCGTTGCACATATCACGCGAATGACTATAACCCCACTGTCGCTTTCTCTTTCCTTCTCTGTTTCCTGTCATACCGTAAAATAAAAATTACGCGTTCATATTATTTATTAATCAGTAATTTTACCTTGTAAAATCAGTCTCAGCGAAATCTTCATGAAACATTGAGTGTCAAATGATAACTGATAAATTCTTGCTTCAACTCTCATTAAAAAAAGAATCTGATTAAATTAATATAGGAATTCTGGTTAAAAATGGACAAATCGGAATTTTCTCTCTGATTGAATCTATTATAATTCTAGTTGAGATAATCAGAATTTTTATTGATATTACATGATCAGTTTTTTGGTTCGTCCATTTTCCAACAGAAATTTTTCTCAGTGCAATCTTTCTCACACGGCATCAGAAATATGAAGAAATATAGTAGGCGCTCAACGCATTATTCTAACACACTCAGGAAAATGTTCTAATTAAATCAACAAAAGAGCTCAACAAGAATAGTATTTTGATGAGGACAGGTTATCATAACCAGAAATTTCATTCGGTCTCACTAAAATGCCATTCTTGTTCGGTTCTTTTGTTAGTCCAACCAGAACATTTTTTTTCAATAAATATACATATTCTTATTAACATTAACACTCTCATGTTTCACCTTTCGCATAATTATAAAGTTCTTATTATTAATCTTGCATCCTTACACATAACTCAGAAAATTCGCTCTAGAATACGAATAAAACATTTTCCTCTCTTTTATTCTCTGTTTGTTCGAAGCAGTCAATTCACTCAACTATTTGCGTCGTCGGCCGAGATTTCCAGACATCAATTCTGAAGTACGTCACGGCGTTGTCGGACCTCACTTTTTCACTTATTAATTCGACACGTCCGCGCCAGCCGGAATCGCGTGTTTGCGGCTACCGTCCCGGATACATCTTGGTATTCATAAAGGGCAGGCTTATATACCTTCCTGTATGAAGCGCACACCCATCAGCAGCCCCATTTAACGTATATGTACACGTGACACCTGTGCCGATAACTTGAATACCGCGGACAGGTGCTCTCGTCAAGCGCTCGACATACGACCACGAAGACGGAAGCGTGTCGAGACCGCTATTATCTCGCGATTACAATCTCGTTTCGCCAAAGGCCGGTTATCGATTGCATGGATCGATCTCTTCCTTTTCCTTTATCGCAATCAGTTAGACCGCGTGGACTTTAATAAACAATGAGCGATGCGAAAATGCCGAGCTTGCTTATTAATAAAAATTCAAGCATACACTTATTGAATTAAGATTTGAGAAAGTTGTACGTAGGTTAAAAATCATTTCGAAACTTCCAGATCATTTCGATACAACTTCGTGGAAGTTGAATAATTACTCAATATAAAATTCCATGTCTTCGGTTAATCGATTAATTCATAAAATTCGATCAATCCTGCGCATCCATGTAGGTATTCGTGCCATGGACGGAAACGAGATTTTAATATTTAAGCTCGATAGCACGATACAATAAGTATAATAAGCATAGAAGCGACCGCCAGCAGGCGGTTGCAAGAGACGGTTGCAATATTAATGCTGACATTTCGGTGCTTTGCGGTAGTTTAACCACACTCCAGCCCCTCGCTTTAATGGATGCGGCTTTCCGACAGGGACGCTATGCCACGACTACGCCAATCTCGTCACGTATGGCCATATATTGTAACCGATATATCGATCTTTAAAATAAAACGGAATAAGAGTCTTAGAAGAATCTTAAAAGAATTTACAAAATAAAATTTTATTTCAATTAGGCAACTGTGTACACTGGATTAATAAGTCATTTAAAAGATTTGAGGTTTAAAGTTCAAGTATACCCTACCACGTATGCTTTAAATATCCATGCGATGGTAGCAACAATGCGTTATTGAAATTTTTGATTGATTCGTAACATCGTAATGTTTGTACTTTACGTAACATTCTTACAGAGGAAAGACTTGTGTTAATTTATAAATATTTGAAATTTTTAGTATAAAGTCATGTACGTAACGTACTTATATTAAGTAAACTCATAAGATTTTAATGTGTCATACAATAAATAGTAATGCAATGATGATGCGTATGAGATTAAAAAATTCGTTTTTTCGATTGATGATTCATATCGTCAATAGCATATAGATGTCCGGATCAAAGTCCAAACAAATCTTTTTTCATGTATAAAATAAGAATAATTTACATCAATATAAAATTCTGTCGTTACATTCGAAGTACACTGAAAAAAAAAAGAGTTTGGTTATAACTACCAAATGTTAAATAAAATAATTCCACAATCAAATGTTCAGATAATATAACCATAATTTTATCTTTACAAATATTTAGTAAGTATTACCAAACGGTATTGCTAACGTTTGTAAAGTTAAAAGTTTACTATGGTTTGGTTATATTATCTAAACATTTAGTTGAAATTATTCCATTCAACATTTGGTAGCTACAGTCAGACTCTTTCTTTCGATGTACACAATATTATTCAAAATGCTCTGAACAAATGTATTTTT